TTTTAAGAACATTCCAGATCTAGCTATTTTGAAATATACAGTGAATTATTACTTATAGTCACGCTACTGTGCTATTAAACACTAGAACTTAATCTTCCTATCTAACTATATTTTGGACCCATTAACCAACCTCTCTTCATACCTGTCCCCCTCCCACTTTTCCCAGTCTCTGGTAACCATCATCCTACTCTCTACCTCCATGAGATCTACTTTTTTTTTTTTTTTTTTTTTTTAAGCTCCCACATATGCGTGAGAACATGGAATATTTGTCTTTCTGTGCTTGGCTTATTTGATTTACCATAATGTATGTACTCCAGTTCTATCCATGTAATCGTAAATGACAGAATTTCATTATTTTGTATGGTTGAATAATATCCCATTGTGTATATCTACTGCATTTTCTTTATGCATTCATCTGTCGATGAATATGTTATTGGTAGTTTAATAGGAATAGCACTGAATCTGTAAATTGCTTTGGGTAATATGGCCATTTTTACAATATTGATTCTTCCTATCCATGAGCATGGAATGTTTTTTTCCATTTGTGTCATCTCTGATTTCCCTGAACAGTGTTTTTTTTAACTCTCATAGAAATCTTTCATCTCCATGGTTAGCCATATTCCTACATATTTTATTCTTTTTGTAGCTATTGTGAATGGGTTTGTGTTCTTGATTTGGTTCTCAGCTTAGGTGGTGTTGGTGTATTGAAATGCTACTGATTTTTGTGCATTGATTTTGTATCTTGAAACTTTGCTGAAGTTGTTTCTCAGGTCTAGGAACTTTTGGGCAGAGACTGGGGTTTTCTTGGTATAGAAGCATATCATCTGAACACAGATAGTTTGACTTGTTCTCTTCCTATTTGGATGCCTTTTATTTTTTTTTTCTTGCCTGATTGCTCTAGCTAGGACTTCCAGCACTATGTTGAATAGGAGTGGTGAGAGAATGCATCCTTTTCTTGCTCCAGTTTTCAAGGGGAATGCCTCCAAGCTTTTGTTCAGTATGATGATGGCTATGGGTTTGTCATATATGGCTCTTATCATTTGGAAATATGTTCCTTCAGTGCCTAGTTTGTTGAGAGTTTTGACTTGAAGGGAGACTGAATTTTATCAAAAGTCTTTTCTGCATCAATTGGTTCTGATCATGTGGTTTTTGTTTTTAGTTCTGTTTATTTGGTGAATCATATTTATTGATTTGTGTATATTGAACTAACGTTGCATCCCAGGGATAAAGCCCACTTGATTTTGGTGGACTAGCTTTTTGATATGCTGCTGGATTCAGTTTGCTAGTATTTTGTTGAGGATTTTTGCATCAGTGTTCATCAAGGATATTAGCCTGAAATTTTTACTGAGTTACTACATTGAAAATGTTTCAAATTAGCCAGATTCTTTAGAGATAATTTAGTAAACTTTAATTTGGCCAGTTAGATCTCATTATTAAAGAATTCAGCTCACTTAATAAGTTGAAATATTTTAAACGTGTAGAGCCTACATTTTGGGAAATTCTGAAGCTCTGTGTTTTCTTATCACAAATTGCCTTTGAATTAACAACTAGTTGTTTCTTTATTCATTCAGCAAATATTTATTTGGTGTCCCTTCTGCTCCTGGCACTGGGAATACAGTGTTGAAGAAAACAAATGTCATCTTTGCCCAATGGAGTTTATATTCTAATGAGGGCAAGTGATAAACAAGTAATAAAATAAAAAAACATAATAATTTTAAATTCTGATGAATGCTACAAAGAAAATAAACAGTGTGGGGTGAGATAGAGTCACTGTAGGGTTGTCAGGGATGGATGGTCCAGGAAGACCGTTTTGAGCAGATGACATTCGATCTGAGATTTCTTCTAAAGAATGAGAATCAGCCAGCTTGGAAATAAATAGAAGAGTGATGTAGGCAATGGGCATAGTAAATAAGACCAGTGTGGCTTAGCATTAAGGAACAAGTGGAAGAATGGGGTAAAATAAGGTTGGAGGGATGCAGGAGCCATCTATCTTACAGGTCTGTTTAAGAGTACAGTGGGAGGCCAGGCGCAGTGGCTCACACCTGTAATCCTCACACTTTGGGAGGCCGAGGTGGGTGGATCACGAGGTCAAGAGATCGAGACCATCCTGGCAAATATGGTGAAACCCCATCTCTACTAAAAAATACAAAAATTAGCTGGGTGTGGTGGCACACGCCTGTAGTCCCAGTTACTCGGGAGGCTGAGGCAGGAGAATTGCTTGAACCCAGGAAGCAGAGGTTGTAGTGAGTGGAGATCGCGCCACTGCACTCCAGCCTGGTGACAGAGCAAGACTCGGTCTCAAAAAAAAAAAAAAAAAAAGTACAGTGGGAAACAATGGAATGATTTTTTTTTTTTCCGAGACAGAGTTTTGCTCTTGTTGCCCAGGCTGGAGTACAGTGGCACCATCTGGGCTCACTGCAACCTCTGCCTCCTAGGTTCAAGTGATTCTCCTGCCTCAGCCTCCCAAGTAGCTGAGATTATAGGTGCCTGCCACCACACCTGGCTAATTTTTGCATTTTTAGTAGAGACGGAGTTTCACCAGGCTTGTCTTGAGCTCCTGACCTCAGGTGATCTGCCCGCCGGCCTCCCAGAGTTACAGGCGTGAGCCACTGTGCCTGGCTGGAATGATTTTTAAGTAGGGTTGTAAAATGGTCTGAGTCGATGTTTAATGGAGATCACTTTTTTTTTTTAAACAGAGTCTTGCTCTGTTGCCCAGGCTGGAGCGCAGTGGCATGGTCTTGGCTCACTGCAACATCTGCCTCCCAGGTTCTAGTGATTCTCATGCCTCAGCCTCCCTAATAGCTGGGATTGCAGGCTTGCACCACCACACCCAGCTAATGTATTTTTAGTAGAGACAGGGTTTCACCATGTTGGTCAGGCTGGTCTCGAACTCCTGACCTCAAGTGATCTGCCAACTTTGGCCTCCCAAATTTCTGGGATTACAGGCATGAGCCACCATGCCTAGCCAGTTTTGGTTTGTTTTGAGACAGAGTTATGCTTTTGTTGCCCAGGCTGGAGTGCAATGGTGTGATCTTGACTCACTGAAGCATCTGCCTCCCTAGTTCAAGTGATTCTCCTGCCTCAGCCTCCCAAGTAGCTGGGATTACAGGCACCCGCCACCACGCCCAGCTACGTTTTTGTATTTTTAGTAGAGATGGGGTTTCACCATTTTGGTCAGGCTGGTCTTGAACTCCTGACCTCAGGTGATCCCCCTGCCTCGGCCTCCCAAAGTGCTGGGGTTACAGGCATGTGCCACCGCGCCTTACAGACTTTTTGTTTTTTTGACTTGAATACTTGGGTTGATGGTGGTTTTGTTTATTATTAAGAGGAATACTGATGAGAAAACAGGAGAGGTTATTTTGTTTTGTGGGGAGGACAATTTGAGAATCAAGCTCTGTTTGACCTACTTAAGTTTGAGATGCTTGTTAAACATCCAAGAAAAAAATGTTAGTAGACAGCTTTAAATAGGTGCGCGGTGCTCAGAAGAGAGGTTCAAGCTAGAGAAATAAATAAAATATGGAATTCATCAGCAAGTAGTATATTAATTTCAAAAACTTTTTTTTTTCACTTTCCTACTTCTAAGAGAGCAGATACATCTTGTGATCATTGTAGGTCAGGTAAGAATCATGACCTATTTGTCACTTGCTGTGGGAGTATGCACAGGCAGACTGAAAAATCTGGAGACAATATTGGAGCATTGTTGTAACCTTCAAAAACCCAGTGATTTGGAGGGAGGGAAGGCAGAAGCAGTGATTCATACCTGTTACGGACTTTCCTGAAGCAGAAGCCAAAAGTAGTTAGCTTTATATAATTGAGACCCCAGCATCATTAGCTATTAGTTCTTTTGAAAAATGCATTGTATATTTCCAATAGCCAAGAGAGGACTTTGAATGTTCCCATAGCAAGGAAATAATGTTTATGGTGATAGATATGCTAATTACCATGATTTGATCATTAAACAGTATATACACATATTGAAACATTGCATTGTACCCCATAAATATGTACTATTATGATTAAAAAGAAGAAAGAAATGCTACATCACCAACGCTCTATGGCACAGAGAATGATGTGGTGTGAAAAAATATAGACATTCCACAACTCAGAGGAGTTATACTTTGAATAGAGGAGTTGTAGTCTGAAGTTTTAGAAGTACTTTCACCAATTTATTTTGTTTATATTTATGTTTATAAAAATGATATATGATAAAAATCTGCCTACATCTGAACTTTTTATTTTTTTAATTTATTTTTATTTTCCAGTAATGGCTACAAGCAAACAACTCTTAATCATTATAACAATTCTGTTAAAAGGCATTGTGTTATACATGGTTTATTTATTTAAACAGAGACAAGGTCTCATGTTGACCAAGCCGATCTCGAACTCCTAGTCTCAAGAGATCTGCCCACCTTGGCCTCCCACAGTGTTCGGATTACGGGCATGAGACATTGTGCCCAGCCTGTCATACATAGTTTAATAGGCAGTTTTCACTTAACAATAATTTTTAAAATGTTATTTCTTAGAACTGACAGATCTTAGATTCAGTGAAATACAGTAAATGATAGTTAAAGCCAGGAAATACAGGACTACCTAAGCTTAGAGATTTTATAAAGAATTAGTTTAATAGAATCTACCATGTACACAACCTGCCTCACCAAACTTCCTCTTCATCTTTTAAGACTCAATTCAGTGATCACATTCCTCAGAAAAACCTCTAACACCCTTCTTCCCTAACCCTGGTGGCTAAGTACAGAATTTTAAAATGAAGCCATAGATTAGCAAAATGGTGCTCACTTATGTACTGTGATTTTATTTCCTCTCTATTTGTGCTTCTAAGGAGAAAGAAATGTGGAAGGTTGTAATAGTAGGTGTGTATTTGAAAGGAATCCAAGAGTGATGGTCGGAATAAGCGCCATCTTAATTTTCTGGTGATTTGTGCTAACCAAGTATTTCCCCATGTCTCCCCACTTTTTTTTTTTTTTTTTTTTTTTTTTTTTAAGGAAAGCCCAGAAGAAAGGACAGTAAACGTGAGCTCTATTCGGGTAAATAAATTTACTTTCATCATGTTGAGGGATTTCATAGAGCTTAATTTCGTCAAGAGAATTTAGACCTTTCCTTTTTTCCAAATCTTAAGCCTGCTGCCTCCACAAAGTCAAAATGAAGTGTTTGCCTTCCAAATTCATTCCAGTGACTTTAATGTGAATTTATTGGCACTTACTCTTTCTAGTCCTCTCTAGGATATAACTTTTCATAGTTTGACTCTTGCTGTTGTGAACACACATTGTCTTATTTTATATAAGTACAGTTGCATGGATATAAAGTGTGACTGTAATGAGACTGATTTAACAAAACCGGGCATTGTGGCTCTTGCCTGCAATCCCAGCACTTGGGGAGATTGAGGCAGGAGCATCTCCTGAGGCCTGGATTTTTTTTTTTTTTTTTTTTTTGAGAAGGAGTCTCACTCTGTCTCCCAGGCTGGAGTGCAGTGGTTTAATCTCAGCTCACTGCAATTGCCTCCTGGGTTCAAGTGATTCTTCTGCCTCACCCTCCCAAATCACTGGGATTACAGGTGTGTACCACCATACTTGGCTAATTTTTGCTTTTTTAGTACAGAAGAGGTTTATGCCTGTTAGCCAGCTGGTCTCGAATTCCTGACATTAAGTGATCTGCCCACCTCAGCCTCCCAAAGTGCTGAGATTATAGACGTGAGCCACTGGACCCAGAGGCCTGGATTTTGAGACCAGCCTGGGCAACATAGCAAGACCTGCCTCTACTAAAATTTTAAAAAATTAGCTGGGCATAGTCATGCATGCCTGTGGTCCCAGCTACTTGGGAGGCTGAGGCAGGATGATTGCTTTAGCCTGGGAGGTTGAGGCTGCAGTAAGCTGTGATGACTACTGCATTCCAGCTTGGGTAACAGAGCAAGACCTTGTCTCAAAAAATTAAAAAAAAAACCATATAATTATGTAATTATCAAAAACTCTTGCTATTTACATATTTCATATAGGCAGTAATGTAATGATATCTGCTCCTATGTTATTTCCTAGAGTGTGAGAATAATGACACATTTCCATTTCATAGTACTTAATTTTTTTTTTTGGCCTACATATAAAATGGATGCTTAGCCCTTGGAATTGGGTACTTTCTGGTTTAAATGTTACTTAGTGACTAAGCTTATTTCCTCCTTGAACTAACTTTTGATATGTGCATGCAGGATCTTGCGAACTCTTCCTAGGGAAAGAGGAGGAAATAGAGAAAAAACATAGTAAAATATTCGATAAGTAATTTTCCTTTTTCTGTGCCTGCAGGGAAAGAAATGGAGCTGGTATTTGGACTATTTATTTTCACAGGGGTTACAAGGCTTGAAACTTTTTATAAGAAGTAGTGTTCATCATTCTTCCGTTACCAGAGCAGAGGGCATAAACTACAACAATCAGTATTAAATGAATGTTAACATATACTGAGCATACTGGACTAAACTCCTTCCTTGATGCTACAGGTAAAGTGGCTGATCTTGAGTTCCTATTTTCATTTCACTGACTGTCACCCTCAAGGAGTACTCAGACTGGCCTTCTGTTCATGGCTTAGGAGAGCCTTGGCGTGGCTAACTGATTTTTCAAGATGCAAATTCTTTAGCCTACTAGTGAAAAATTACCCCTTCATCATCAGGCTCTGCATTCTACCAAATTGTATATAAAAAGACACATCTGTTTTGTGGTAGGATTTTTTCCACATTTGTGTGTACTATGAGCTACATTGATGGAAGACAGCAGGTAATATGCGGTGACAGGTAATTCACAGACATACACATGCAAAATACTTAGCTGCCTCTGGGGACATTCCCATTTTTCTTACTGTGAACAATAGCACGAGCACCAAATTAACAGGATGCAACATGTATGGCTCTAAAAGCCCTAAGTAGTTGGTAACTTCCTGGGCCTTCAATCATATCAATTTGATGAGGGAATGAAGGCGAGAGGATTTGTTGGGTAATCAAGACATTCCTGTATATGTTTCATTTCATGAAACTGCTCTATTTTGTTTGTGTATATATGTATATGTGTGTGTGTGTATATCTATTATGTGTGTGTCTGTGGCTTCAGTTTTTAAGTGTTGAGGACTAAATAAACTAACTGAAATTTTACTTTCAGAAGGAAGTCTGAAGTTTAAAAAAAATTAATAGCTAGAATATCGTGCTGAAACTTTACTATAAAATTTTGCCTCAGTGCTATTGAATAACTCTCCCTTCTAATAAAATTTATATCATTTGAGAAGAATCAAGCTGAATTAATTTTTGTCTTTAACAATGCATACTTGGGGTTCTTTTTTTCCCCATTAAGAAAACCAAACCCTAAATTATATTATTGGATAGTGTTCAGACTAGAAATCCCATTCGTCCATTGACTCAGTTAATTGATTTAATAAATATTTATTGAGCTCCTTACTCTGTGCCAGGTACTCTTCTGTGTGCTGGTTATCCAGTTGTGACCAGTACAAAGTATCTGCATTTTTTGTTTTTGTTTTTGTTTTTTTGAAATGGAGTCTCACTCTGTTGCCCAGGCTGGAGAGCGGGTGTATGATCTCGACTCACTGCAACCTCTACTTTCTGGTTCAAGCGATTCTCCTGCCTCAGCTTCCCGAGCAGCAGGGATTATAGGTGCCTGCCACAAGGGCCAGCTAATTTTTGTATTTTTAGTAGAGACAGAGTTTTGTCATGTTGGACAGGGTGGTCTTGAACTCTTGACCTCAAGTGATCCACCCGATTTGGCCTCCCAAAGTGTTGGGATTATAGGCGTGAGCCACTGCACCCAGCCCAAAGTACCTGTTTTTATGGAGTTTACATTCCAATGGAGAAGACAGACAATAACAATATAAGGAAATGTAACATATCAAGTGCTATAAAGAAAAGGCAGGGAATGGGGATAGAATGTGTTGAATTTTGTCAAATGCTTTTTCTGTATCTTTTGAGATTGTCATATGGCTTTTGTCCTTCATTCTGTTAACATGATATATCACATTTACTGATTTGTATATGTCGAATCATCTTTGCATCCCAGGATGAATTCCACTGGGACAGAATGGGTGAATTCTGAGATTCAGAGATGGGACAGGTTTGGAGGAATGTGGAATCAAGTTCTGTTTTGGCTATGTAAGGTTGGAAATGCTGCTGTGTAGGCAATTGGATATCCAAGTCTGGCTTCAGGGTACAATTTGGGATGGGAAAAACTAATTTGAGAGTGTTTAGGGAATAACCATAACTTTGGATGAGATCATCTAGTACAGCTAGTGAAGAGAATGTGGCAAAAGATGGAGACCTAAGATATGCCATCATTGAGAAGTAGAGGAACCAGCAAAAGACTGAGAAGGACCTACCAGTGACCTAGAAGAAAAATCAAGAGACTGGTATTCTGGAAGCCATCAGAAGAAAGTGTTTCACAAAAGGAAGATAGTATTGAATGGTGTGGAATGTTGCCTGTATACCTGGAAAAAAAGCAACTTCGGCTGCTTTTTAAGTAAATGTGGTAGAGTTTGTACTGTAAATAACTTTCCATGTAGCTTTTCAGATCATGATATTTTGGTCCTTAAGATCATATAGAACTTTCCATTGTGAGAAGGGATTTGATTATTTTATCATTAAAGAAACTTTTCTAAACAAATTTATGTTCCAGAAGAAAAATAATTTTCCCTTAGGTTTGTCTTTTTGTTCAATAATGATTCCCTGGGTATCTTTTTTTCCCACAAATAAAATAGATGTACCTGGATACCTTTTTTTGTGCATATTTCTTTTAATTTTTTAACCTATTTAAGATTATTTATCTGGCAGTACAAATAAGCCAAATATAGTTATCTGAAAAATATTTTTCATGGCAAAAACCATAATAGTTAAATAAAGAATAGCTATTTTGCTTCAGTGCAAAACATATCTAGACAATAAAAGAAATGGAAAATTCGGTTTATTATTGCAGTTATACAAAAAGTATTTTTCTATTTTTTATTTTTAAGTAGACACTTGGCATTCACAAAAAGTATTTTTCTTTACTGAGTGTGTAGAATTGTTGGCATTATTAATATTGGCTTAATGTTCAATACTAAAGTCGCTATTAGAGTTCTAACATTTGTTTTCCTTTTTATTATACTTTTTCCTTCCTTTTGACCTTGGGGTTGATCTGGAAAGAAAAGTAAGTAAGTGGTGTCACACATAACTTTTATTAACATAGTAGAATTGTCTACTAGAAAAGTTACTCTCTGTAATTCTTACTGAGATAATTTGCATTTATTATAGTTTACCTTCATGGGCAAACAGATTGCCTGAGCCATTTTGGACAAAATGCAAAAAGTATGAAAGAATGAGCACATATTTAATAGACTGACAGCCTGGGCATTTATGAGTATTCCAGCCTTAGATATAATGACACCTATGAAATTGAACAAGACTGAGTCTTTTTGCATTCCACCTTGCCTTTGCATCCGTTTGTATCCAATTTTCTGCTACTTGGGGTAATAAGAGAGAATGTAGCATATAATTTTTTTAAAGTAACCATTAATTCCAGCGTTTAAAAATTAGAAATGAATCATTTTTGCATTTATAATCAGCTTCATGGACTAGGTTAAATTCCCAAACTTGATTACCACTTTCTGCATAATCAATTGAAAATTGGAATGTGGGGGACCTCTAGGTGGCACTATGAAGAGTTCAGTGGAACTTCTTCCCAGAGGAATACCCATTTCATTGGTTAAAATTAGCAAAGGCAATCATTCAGTCTCTGGAGAGTGATCAGAGGATTCGCAATAAATTGAAACTCAATATATTCAAACTTTACGGAACTCAATAATAGTGGAGGTCATAACATCTGAGCTAGAGCCTGCATTCATTTTCCCACCCAACTTCGTGTTGTAGAAGAGCTATTGTGTAAGAGGTATTCCAGCAGGCATGGCCCAAATTGGAACTCCTATCCTCTCCAGATACTGCTTCATAATACAGAGTCTCTGCCAAGGGAGCGGGGTCAGTGCAAGCCTTAAAGACTGGCAAGACGTTGTCCCTTCCTGAGAAACCTGACTTTATTTGTCCTGTGGAGCAACTTATGACTCTAGGAATTGCTCATAAGAATAGGATAACCAATTAGCAATATGTGCAGACTAGCAGCATGGTATAATACCTATAGAGGAAGACCAGCCAGAAGTTTAAAAGGGAGAGCAGAGAAAGAGCAAAGGAGGCCTTGCTAAAATCATGGTCATAGTTGGTGATATGGAAAAATGTACACATGCATGAGTCTGCATTCTCTCAGAAGCAACTGAAGAAGGAACTGCTTTGCTATTAGTTCCTCACTAAATGTGGGACAAAATTGTTAACTCCCTGAAGTGTGAAAGCAGTCTCCAAGCTACAGAGCAAACGGTAAAGAATGAAAACTATTGGGCCTGGGCATGGTGTCTCACGCCTGTAATCCAAGCACTTTGGGAGGCCGAGGCGGGTGGATCACTTGAGTTCAGGAGTTTGAGACCAGCCTGGTCAACATGGCGAAAACCCATCTCTACTAAAAATGCAAAAAATAGCTGGGCGTGGTGGCATGTGCCTGTAATCCCAGCTACTAGGGAGGCTGAGGCAGGAGAATCGCTTGAACCTGGGAGGCGGAGGTTGCAGTGAGCTGAGATTGCCCACTGCACTGCAGCCTGGGCAACAGAGCAGGACTCTGTCTCAAAAACAACAAAACAAAAAACTTTATTGGCTCGGGGGCTTTAAGCACAACTTCTGATCTATCAGAGGCTGACTACTAAACTGTACTGACCCAAGGATGACCCTTAGGAAGCCATATTTAAAAACAAAAACAAAAAAATCTAAATGGAGTCATTAGAGGCTATACACTGGGGGAATGGACTTCACAGGATTAGTCTAGCTAGGTCACCAAATAAGTGAACAAAGAACAACAACAAAACTTGGAGCAGAGAGTATCATCCAGAGCTGCAACAATATAGTACCTAAAGTGTTCAGTGCAGTAAAATGAGGCATGCAAAGAGGAACATGTGATTCATACACAGGAAAAAAGACTAGAAGTTATCTTGATGAGGACCAGATATTGAACTTAGTGACCAACGACTTCAAAGCAGCTACTATAAGTATCTACAAAGAAATTGAAACTGTTTAATTAAAGGGAGATATGATGACAATGACTGTATCAATAAAGTACAGTGGACACACATACACCACTTCTATACACAGAAATGGAAATTCTGGACCTGGAAAAAAGTGAAGAAAAATGAATGGAGCCTTAGAGAAATGTGGGACGCAAATATGTTCATAATGGGAATACTAGAAGAGGAGAGAAGGAGACAGAAAAAGTATAAATAATGGCGAATAATGTGCCAAACTTGATGAAAAGCAATCTATACATCAAACAAACTCAAGGAAATATAAGCAAGTCAAATCCAGCAATATACAGTCATGTACCACCACATAACGACATTTTGTAAAACAACCTCAGGCAGGTCCTTCAGGTGGTATTCCAGAAGAAGGCATTGTTATCATCCGAGATGACAGCTCCATGCTTGTTAGTGCCCCTGAAGACCTTTGAGTAGAATGAGATGTGGAGGTGGAAGACAGTGATATTGATGATCCTGCCCTGGTGTAGGCCTAGCCTAATGTGTTTCTATGGCTTAATTTTTTTTTTAAGGGGAAAAAGTTAGAAACAAACTTATAAAAATATAAAGAAAATATTTTGTACAGCTGTACAACGTGTTTGTGTTCTAAGTGTTATTACAAAAGAGTGAAAAAAGTTAAATTTGAGTTTATAAAGTAAAAGGTACAGTAAGCTAAGGCTAATTTATTAAAGAAAAGCTTTTTTTTTTTTTTTTTTTTTTTTTTTTGAGACGGAGTTTCGCTCTTGTTACCCAGGCTGGAGTGCAATGGCGTGATCTCGGCTCACCGCAGCCTCCGCCTCCTGGGTTCAGGCAATTCTCCTGCCTCAGCCTCCTGAGTAGCTGGGATTACAGGCACGCGCCACCATGCCCAGCTAATTTTTTTGTATTTTTATTAGAGACGGGGTTTCACCATGTTGACCAGGATGGTCTCAATCTCTTGACCTCTTGATCCACCCGCCTTGGCCTCCCAAAGTGCTGGGATTACAGGCTTGAGCCACTGCACCTGGCCAAGAAAAGCTTTTTATAAATGTAGCCTAAGTGTGCAGTGTTTATAAGGTCTACAGTATTGTGCAGTAATGTCCTAGGCCTTCACGGTCACTCACTGATTCACCCAGAATCACTTCTAGTCCTGCAAGTTTCATTCTTGTTAAATGCTGTATAGAAGTGTACTGCTTTGTAACTTTTATACGATATTTTTACTGTACTTTTTCTGTGTTTAGATGTGTTGAGACACACAAATACGTTGTGTTTCAGTTGCCTACAGTATTCTGTTCAGTACAGGAGCATGCTGTTCAGGTTTGTAGCCAAGGAGTAATAGGCTATGCCATAGACCCTTGATTTGTGTAAGTATACTCTATGATGTTCACATAATAAAATCACCTAACACATTTCTCAGGACATGGCTCTGTTGTTAAGAGGTGCATGACTACGTAAAAAGGATTTTACTTCATGACAAACTGGGGTTTATCCCAGGAATGCAAGATTGATTTAACATCCGAAAGGCAGTTAATACACCATATCAAAACATTGTTTTAAAAAATAGACAATCTAATACATGCAAATTTATCTACGTTCATAGATTAGAAGACAATATTGTTAAGATAGCAATAGATTTCCAATGCAGTCTTTTTTTTTTTTTTTTTTTTTCTGAGACAGGGTTGTGCTCTGTTGCCCAGGGTGGAGTGTGGTGATACAGTCCTCAACCTGGCACTGCATCCTCAACCTGGGCACAAACAAGCCTCCCACTTCAGTCTCCCAAATAGCTGGGACTACAGGCATGTGCCATCATGCCCAGCTAATTTTTGTATTTTTTATAGAGACAGAGTTTTACCATGTCACCCAGGCTGGTCTTGAACTACTGGGCTCAAGCGATCTGCCTGCCTCAGACTCCCAAAGTTCTGGGATTACAGATGTGAGCCACTACACCTGGCCTCTAGTGCAGTCTCTATTGAAATCCCAACTGGCATTCTACAGAAATTGACGAGCTTAACCAAAAATTAAAATGGAACTGAGGGACCCCAGAACAATATTTTTTCAATATTATTTCTTTTTTTATCAATATTATTTCAATAATCAAAATGATACTGAAAAAACTTGGAAAACTCACATTTCTCAATTTCAAAGACTACAACACTATGTTAATCAAGACAGTGGGATACTAGCATAAAGGTAGACATAGGTCAATGGGATGGAATTGAGAATTGAAGAATAAACCCATACATTTAGGGCCAATGTGCTTTTCCACAAGGAAGCCAACACAGTTCAATGGGGGAAAGAATAGTCCCCCATTGTACTAGGACAATACAATAGTTGAAAAGATTATTATAAAACAATATTTTAAATGAAAAGACTTAATATTTCATTATGATACTGTGACAACTGGATATCTCCATGCAGAAGAATCCATTTGGGTCTCTGTATCGCACCATACATAAAAAATAAAACAGATTTAAAAACCTAAATATAAAGCCGGAAACCAAATAACTTTTTTTTTTCTTTTTGAGACAAAGTAACACTCTCATCTAGGCTG